CCTGCTGGATTTTCTTTCTTCTCTTTTTCCCCTGCCCCTGCACCATGTTCCAGAATTTTATGTGCGATAGGGAAATGTTAAAAGAAAGCAAGCAAGACTTTATTTTCAGTGTCTCTGATTTTTCTCAGCTGTTGCACACAACAGTGCTTCAGAGATTGAGCTTTGATTCCTGGAGACCCTAGGCCAATCCTTATGGTTGCCAACCCTAGTATAATCGAGACAGACAGGGCGATGGGATGTATTGTGGGAAAAACGTAAAATTGTCCATTTTGGCAAGATGAACAAAACAAAAAAGCCTATTATCTAAATGTTGAGAGACTACAGAGCTCCGAGATGCTGAGGGTTCAGAGTGTTATCCTGTATGAATCACAAGATTATATTGTACAGACTCAGCAAGTGATTAAATAAAGCAAATGAAGTGTTATAATACATCACAAGGGGAATGAAATAAAAGGAGGGAGATTATGTTTCAGTTATACTGTGTACTTATACTCCCTTTCACCATCCTTCCCATGGTCTTACCGCAGTATCATTGGTCCGGTACTGCTGGTCATCGGCATAGGAGAATCCGACCCCCGCTGGTGACTCGAGGTACAGTACGTTTGCAATCTACGATGGAAACATGGTTCATTATACTGTTAAAGCAGAACAAATAACCAGGTGAAAGGACAGACTAACAATTACACCCAGGTAATCAGCCTACATAGGTCCAAATCATCCATACCAACCAGACATCCCAATCTGATTTAGTACCCATTTGCCAGCATTTCCCTCCAAACCCTTCCTAATCATCCAGATGCCTTTTAAATGTTGTAATTGTACCCACGTCCACCACTTCCTCTAGCAACTCATTCCATATACACACTACCCTCAGCATGAAAGTTACCCCTCAGGTCTTTTTGAAATCTTTCCCCTTTCACCTTAAACCTATATCCTCTAGTTTTGTACTCCCCTACCCTGGGGTAAAAAGACCTTGGCTATTCACCTTATCCATGCCCCTCAAGATTTTATAAACCTCTCAGGTCACCCCTGTCTCCGACACTCCAGGGGAAAAAGCCCCAGTCTCTCCAGCCTCTCCCTATAGCTCAAACCCTCCAGTCCCAGAAGCATCCTTGTAGATCCTTTCTGCACCCTCTCAAGTTTAACATCATCCTTCCTATAGAAGGGCGACCAGAATTGAACGCAGTATTCCAAAGGTGGCCTCACCAAACGTCCTGTACAGCCGCAACATGACATCCCAACACCCATACTCAAATGTTATAACCAATGAAGGCAAACATGCTAAATACCTTCTTCACCATCCTGTCTAACTGTGACTCCACTTTCAAGGAACTATGCCCCTGCACCCCTAGGTCTCTTTGTTCAGCAACACTCCACAGGGCCCTACCATTAACTGTGCAAGTCCTGCCCTGGGTTGCCTTAGCAAAATGCAACACCTCACATTTATCGGAATTAAACTTCATCTGCCACCCCTTGGCCCATCTGATCAAGGTACTGTTGAACTCTGAGGTAGCCTCCTTCACACTCCATTACACCATCTATTTTGGTGTCATCTGCACACTTACTAACCATACCTCCTATATTCACATTCAAATCATTTACGTAAATGATGAAAAGCAGTGGACTCAGCACAGATCCTTGTGGCACTCTGCCGGTCACAGGCCTCCAGTGTGAAAAACAACCCTCCACCACCTCCCTCTGTCTCCTATATTCAAGCCAATTTTGTATCCAACTGGCTAGCTCTCCCGGGATCCCATGTGATCTAACCTTACTAACTAGTCTACCATACAGAACCTTGTCGAATGCTTTGCTGAAGTCCATACAAAAAACATCCACTGCTCTGCCTTCATCAATCTTCTTTGGCATCTCTTCAAAAACTCAAGTTAGTGAGACGTTATTTTCCACACATAAAGCCATGCTAACCAGTCCTTGCCTTTCCAAATGAATGTAAATCCTGTCCCTCAGAATCCCCTCCAACAACTTACTCACCAGTGACATAAGGTTCACCAGGCTACAGTCCCCTTGCTTTGCTTACAACTTCTCTTAAATAAAGGCACCGTTAGCCAACCTCCAGCCTTCCGGCATCAATGATACAAACATCTCAGCAAGGAGCCCACCAACCTCTTCCCTAGCTTCCCAGAGTTCTGGGAAACACTTGATCAGGTCTCGGGGATTTATCTACCTTTATGCATTTTAAGACCTCCAGCACCACCTCTTCTGTAATATGAATTATTATCAAGACATCACGGTTTATTTTCCCAAATTCCCTAGTTGCCATGTCCTTCTCCACAGTAAATCTGAGGCGAAATATACATTTAGTATCTCACCCATTTCCTGTGGTTCCACATAAAGATGGCTACATTGATCTTTAAAGGGGCTCTATTCTCTCCCTTATTACTTTTTTTGCCCTCAATATATTTATAGAATCTCTTTGGATTCTCCTTAACTCCAATTGCCAAAACTAACTTTTGCTCTCCTGATTTCCCTCGAGTACACTCCTACTGTCCATGTAGTCTTCTAGGGATTTTTTTTACCATTATTCATTCAAGGGATGAGGGCATTGCTGATCAGGCAGCATTCATTGCCCATCCCTAATTGCCCAGAAGGCAGTTTAGAGTCAACCACGTTGCTGTGGGTCTAGAGTCGCATGTAGACCAGACCAGGTAAGGATGGCAGTTTCCTTCCCTAAAGGACATTAGTGAACCAGATGGGATTTTCCGACAATTGACAGTGGATTCATGGTCATCATTAGATTCTTAATTCCAGATATTTTTATTGAATTCAAATTCCATCATCTATCGTGGCGGGATTCGAACTTGGGTCCTCAGAATGTTATCTGGGTCCCTGGATTAACAGTCCAGCGACAATACCACTAGGCCGTTGCCTTCCCCTGATTCACTCAGTTGCAGCTGTCTATACCTGACATATGCTTCCTTCTTTTTCATGATCAGAGCTTCAATTTCTCTAGTCATCCAGAATTCCTGACACCTACCAGCTTTGCCCTTCACACTAACAAGAATGTACAGTCTCTGAACTCTCGTTATCTCATTCTTAAAGGCCTCCCACTTCCCAACTGTCCCTTTACCTGTGAATAGCCTACCCCAATCAACCTTTCAAAGTTCCGGCCTAATATTGTCAAAATTGGCCTTGCTCTAATTTAGAAAATCAGCATGTTTCTAAATGCCCCATTCACAAAATTTTCTTTTCCAATTTCCACTGGATAGATTCATATCTATCAATGAGTGTGTATATCAATAGCAAATAGAGTTTAGTGTGGAAAAGCAGGAAGTTCTCCCCTTCGAACACTTTGTAAACAGTCAAAGTGGGGTGATGGGAAGGCAAATCAATTTCAGAGTCCAAATTCAGATATCATTAAAAATGAGTAAATATGTACCAAAACCAATCAAAGATCTCTCTCTCATTTTATCTAATCCTCTTGAAATAAATGCCAAAGGAGGTGGAAATTGTGCTTCATTTGCCTTGAACAGACTGTATCTGGAATACAGCGTTCAGATTTGGATACAGCACCTCAAAAAGGATATATTCACTGCAGATTATCCACAAATACATCGAAAGCTCGGTGAGTAACATCACGTTTCTATGCTTCCATACAGAGATTGATAAATTTCTAGTTGCTAATAATGTCGTGGAATATGAGGATAGTGTGGCAATAGAGCATTGAGGCACATGATCAGCCATGATCTAGAATGAAGGAAATAGGCTGGAGGGGCTAACAGACTTCCCCTGCTCCTAAGTGATACTGCGGCTAAAGGGATGAAATTATGCAGATATCTTGCACAAAATTTTCTCATAGCGTTGGAGGGGAGAAGAGTGAGACAAAAGCCAATTAAAACAGCAAACAAAAAAAAATGCAATAGAAAAGAATACACACCAGATTCCAGGAGTAAGGATTGTATTGGAGTGTTTTCCCATCTGGTTGGATCTACAAGGTAAACAGCAATATTTGAATCAGTTCATGCAGTACTGCGGGCAATTCTGGGATTGCGCTATGGTTTGCCAAAGTTAGCTGAAAGATATCTTTTCAAATGGATCAATAGTCAGAGATCCAGTTACATTACATATTAAACTCCTGGTACATTTAAGAGACTCCATATATAAAGATCACCAGTGTCTTGTTAGAGGAACTTGCAATGTTATTATGACAAAGTACAAAGAACATCACTGTGAGCAGTGAGGTGAAAACCTTTTCCTTTTCTCATGTGAAAAGTTCAGCAACTTCATTGCAAGATACTTCCCTGCTGTTAAAACCAAAACAGAGCATGCTGGAGAAACTCAGCAGGTCTGGGCAGCATCTGCAAAGGGAAACCCAGCTAACATTTTGGGTCCAGAATTACTTTTTAGAACTGCAAGGTGTTGGAAAATAGATTTAATGCCTTTGATAGAGGCAGAAGCCCAGTCAAAATGACAACATTTTAACGGTAATGAAAGAGACAGAGATATACAAAGTTTTAAATAAAGGTCTGAAAGGGAGTGAATGGGTCCTCTCAACTAAGCGCAAAGAAAACAAACCACGAAGGCTAAATATAATAAAAACAGACAGTCAGAGGAAGGAAGTGGCTGTGAAAGGAGGTCTTATAAAACATTTTAATACAGTACTAGGAGGAAAATAGAAAGCAATGAGGTTGAACAATCTACTACACCTTTACACTCTTTGCAGAGTGCAATGAAGGACAGTCAAATTGAAATATGAATTGGTTTCCTCTCTCCACAGATGCTCAGACCAACTGAGGACATAGAACAGTACAGCACAGCACAGTACAGGCCCTTCGGCCCACAATGTTGTGCCAAACTTTTACCCTGAACCTAAGGTCTATCTAACCTCCACCCCTACCTTATACTATCATCCAAATGCCTATCTAATAGCCGCTTAAATGCGTCTAATGAGGCCGACTCCACTACCCTCTCCGGCAATGCATTCCATGCCCCGACCACTCTCCGAGTAAAGAACCTACCTCTGACGTCTCCCCGATATCTACCTCCACTCACTTTAAAACAAATGCCCCCTCGCAACAGCTACCTCCACCTTAGGAAAAAGTCTCTGGCTGTCCACTCTATACCTCTGATCATTTTGTACACCTCTATCAAGTCACCTCTCATCCTTCGTCGTTCTAAAGAGAAAAGCCCTAGCTCTCTCAACCTTTCCTCGTAAGACCTTCCCTCCATTCCAGGCAACATCCTGGTAAATCT